CCCCAAAACCCCAAAACCCCAAAACCCCAAAACCCCGAAACCTTGAATTCAAAGTCTTAGTTAAAATCATAAATTTTTAGAATTAATAAATTAATTATATTATTGATTCCTTGATTGACATATTATTTCTAGTTCAATTAATATTCATTTGCTATTCATACCTTCATTGTTAAAGGGTTCTGAATTCTATATTCCTTATACACAATCATCATCGCTATTTAATTTTATTCTAACCTCATTTTGTTTGTCAGATTATTCATTATTCTCTTGACTGTTACTGATCTCAAGACTAGAATAATCTTTGTTTTCTCCAGAATCATTAGAATCGATATCATCATTTCTTTATGGTATTTTGCTCTAATTATTGATCATTTTTGCCTTTTTATTTTATTCAAAATTCAAGACCTCATTATCAAAATAATTTTTACTCTCTATAAAACTTTCAACTGCATTAGCATTGTCTATTTTTTCACTATTTCTTGAAATTTAAACTATTTTAGACTATTATTTATTTTATGATATTTTATGAATCTTATTCTAATATTTTATTTCATTCTTATAATTAGCCTAAGCAATAAGATCCATTAAAAGATAATCTTCATCATTTATTTCATCCTCATAGTTTTCTGGTTCAATAAAGACTGACTATCCTTTTCAGAATTCTTAAATATTATTTTCTTATCCAACTTTTACAAATGATTATGTGGAACTAACAATTGTACTTTAGTTTCTTAGAAGTTATTCATCATCATTGATATCTTTTATTTAATTTTATTTTTCATCATCTTTGGCCATTTACTCAAAAAATTCTTCATTAGATACTGTATAGACATCTCTTTTTTTTCTTGGTGATGATTCTTAAAACTCAAAGACTTCCTAGATAGGCTCTTTTTTCTCTTAGTTTGCCTTTATTTCATTATATTTTTGATCATTTATGAAGTTACTATTTTTTCTTCTAATTTATTAATCTTACTCATTTAATTTTAACAACTGATCTTATTGCTAATTTAAATTTCTGTCTATAAAATTTGAAGTTTTTTTCTATTTAGATTATTAATGGAAAACTTATGGAAATTCTTAATTTTCCATATACTAATTGGTTAAAGTTTTCATTTTTTTAAAAATGCATAGGGATTCTACAGTTTATTAATTTTGATTATTATTTCTTTTACGCTTCTATTTGTTTTTAAATGTTAGAGCAACATCTGATAAATTTTAAAACTACGAGGTTGTTTTCTGATTAATTGAATTCTTGGGTGCAATGATGCTACCTTAATCTATTGTAATGAGTTTTAAATCTTATAATTAGTAAGGTATTTCAATAGTAAATACAATTGAATCTACCACTGTGCTAATCTAGATCCTTTCATCAATACTTTCTAAAATTGATCAAATATATTGATAGTCTGGACGTTTGTCAAAACTACATTTTTCAATTGTTTTAATCAATTCTAATAATTTAATGATTCTATCATCTTCGAAATCTTATCTTTTCTCAAACATCTCAATTTTCTTCTGTAAAATTGAGCTTGACAAAATTTGTTGCTAAGCATCTTTTGCATTATAGTTTAATGATTCTTCATACCAAGGCAATTTGTCCAAAATAAGTGTCATTGCACAATAAATCATCGATATTATATCATCTCTGCGAGATAATTCATAACCTTAATGATTGAATGATGATGCAGTATATGTTGTACCTCTCAACTACTTCCCTGTTTAGAGTGAGATATGTTGATTATCTCTAAGCATATACTCTCGTGAAGTTCCGAAGTCTATGATCTTTATTGAATCATTTTTAACCATAAAGTTGTTAAGACTTATATCCCTGTGAATTATACCAGCATCATGAATCTACTGTAAAGCATCAAGCATTCCCAAGAATATTTTTGAGATATTTAAACTCTACTTTTTCCTCTCATAATAATCAACCAACGGTTCATCTAAATAGCTCAGCATAAGGTAATTGTAATTAATTTCCTTTCCCTTCATTGCATGTTTTGCTAAACCATGATCAATATAAGCAGGCTCAAAATTTACTTTGTTTTTGCTAAGCTTTTTCAAAATCAATGATTCATTCAGAATAGTATTCACTTGGAAATTGCCATCAGTTTTCTCAAATTTAATTGCTACTTTAATATCATTTTTTACATATAAGCAAACACATCCGTATCCGCCTCTACCTAAAATTCTATCAAACTTAAATCCCTTCATTAATGGTGGGTAGCACTAATCATCTGAATTTTCCTATGGCTATGTTGATAATCTACTATAATTTGGTCTCATTATAAAGTTGTTTAATTCTTTTTAATCTGTCACTATTTATTATTACATTTTCTTTCAATTTATATTTATATCAATTATTTATTCTTTAAGAATCACTTTTACCATAAGGGGTTTTGGGGTTTTGGGG